TTTTGTTCTATTATAATCGAAATTGAAAGATCTTATGCCATTTTAAACAAGCATTTCGTGTTCCTTTGTTTATGTATAACGGGTAATTAGAAAAAGCGTAACGTGCACGATACACGTCTTTGTAAACAATGCATTCTTAAATTTATATTAAGAAAAATGAGTGAAGAAAAAGAAAATAACCAGAGAAAGTTTGTTCTCATTAGTCATTAATTTTAAAATAACTATTCCTTCATTTAGTTATTTATTTATTTTTGTGTGTTGTTGACAAGTACGATACTTGCTACATATATATTTGGAGCATGGTTTAAATACACAACTAGGCATTGATTGGTAATCAGCTTGCAACTGCATTTTTGCGTGGTTCAATTCACCTTGATGAATGATGACATAAATTATACATTGACCACCTTAAATTAGTATCCTACTACAATATTTTTAAATTCACAAAACGTGGAGGAAACAAATAGATTTAAATAAGAGATAGCGAGTAAAAATAAAATATTAGGTGTTCTCATATGAGAGGCAAGACGAGAATGTTTCTGCAATGAAATTTCTAAGCAATTATAACCGTCCACCAATTTTCAACCATGGTGTCGTACTCGTTTGATTAATTATTCCTACTTTAATAAGGAGTTAATAGGGTTTAAAGAAGTTTGTGCACAAAAAAAAAAAAAGTTAAAGAAATTTGTTACTTTTAGATAAATTTATTTTTAAAATAATTATATTATATATATATAATTGAAAATTACATGATATTTTATTTTTTATTATTATTTTTTATTTCCTTGTATATATATGTTTTGTTTTTACTCTTTAACATTCTAAACCTTTTATTTTTATAAAAAATTATTTTACCTATTTTTCTAGACTTGTAAATAGATATATTAGTTAAAAGCATGGTAATTTCAATAAATTGTAAGTGTTTTATTTTATTATTTTGTACTGAGAAAAATGAAAAATTATATTCGTACTATATTTTTTAAATTATTATTATTTTATTTATTTACAAATTATATTATCTTTTAATGTTTTACCTATAATATTAAAATAATTTTTTTTTCATTTTATAATAACGTCCTTAGTTCTTTGTCGATAAAATAACGTTCTTAGTTAGTAATTTAGCATTTAAAATAAAGGAAAATGCAAAAAAAGATAGATAAATGAAAAGTTAATAAAATTTGAAAAATTATAATTAAATTGAAAGAAATTATATAAAAAAATATAAGCATATGTGACACTTTTGCAAAGACGTTCATCTTATAAATAAATATATTAATAATTATATTTAAAATAATAAGTAAAAATTATAATTTAAACCATACATGAAGGATGGTATATAATATAAATATTATATTAATAATTAATGGAATAGATTGATAGTTCAACAGTCTAAAAAATAAAAATAAAAAAAATAAAATAAAAAAGTAAGTAATAAATATTTTTAAAAACTAAAATATTAATGATTTTCTTGAATCTTATCAAAATCTTAAATAATTATGAAAAAGAAACGGAAAAAGTAGCTGATAGCGCGTTGAAGTTTTTGGCCTTTTATATGTGACGCAGTATTGCAATAATAACATGTCCCCCCGATATATACATGTCTCTGACTCTCACGCTATGTAACTATAGATATATGTATTTAATGTGCAGTTAATTGAAAGAAGACGTGTCGTGTTATAATTAGTTTGTAAGTGAAAATTCGATGCAGGTATGAATCGCGGCTTGCATGAGTCGATCAACAATTTTTCGGCTCTTCAACTCAACAAATACTCAAACTGTCAACACACATGTCCTTTTGTACACTTGGATTCAATAATCTCCATATTTCATACCCAATCAAAATACAAAACATTCTTTCTTCTATTTTACTTATGAAAGATACAACAATATTCATATGCCAATGTAATCTGATTTTTGTTTTTACATTTTTTTCTTCATTTATAAATTGAAAAATACATCTTTTAAAAAGGATATCGTTTAGTCTTTTTGTTATTGATTAATCATCATCAGATACTTACAAGGTGTCACTAACACTTGCAAACACATGTAACCTAATTCTGTGTTTGTGTGGTCCGGGACATCGTTGAAGAGGAGAATTTGATATTTAAAACACGTATCCACGAGTTTTTGAAAATAAATTAAAAAATAATGGGCGAGTATAACTAAAAAATGCGTAAAATATTTTGTATATATCTTGATTACAAGGTTCGTGACTCTTTCATAATGTTAAAAATAGAAAATGTTTCCGTATTAGAAAAGGAAATATGGTTCAACTCTTTGCTGACGAGTTTAAACAATTGTATATGCTTGCATATTCTTCATAGACTTTCTTGAAATTGACCAAGTTATATTCGGCTTTCCACGCAAGTGATTCTGGACTCGAACAAATATGGTAAAATTGGTAAAAGGAAACAAGGTTTACAAAATCAACATTCAACTCCGAATTTTAAAGGGATATTCTGTTAGCGGCACTTTACTAGTTTCCAAACCATCAAATTATACGATTTTTATAAAATTAATTAAATTATAATAATTTTATTCATTCATTCACATACTCATTGATCCAATAAACGCGTATTTTGGGTTCTGAAACTAAAATATTCTTTGTGCCTCTTTCC